AATCTTATTATATATTGGCCTCTGGTACATACACAGATCATTCAATTCTTTCTGGTCAATTCGTAGGCCGTACCTTAGAATTCTTTGAGTATTTGGGATATATTTTTTACGGCTATTTATACCGATCTGTTGTTATTGACATTTCTGAGAAATGGTTAATAATTGTCATTATTATCGTAATAATCTTCAAGGTGATTAACGTTCTGCATTTTGGATTTGTACTCATTTTACCACAAACGCCTGCATTACGCAAATAGTAAAAGTGATTATATACAGGTATCAAAACTAAATAAAAAATATAACTATTTACTTGCTTGCCATTATCACCTAGAGAGGAGTTTACTTATTTATCTATTCATTTAGTTTCTCTTTCTGTGCCCCCCCTACCTCTCTCTTTCTCTCTATCTCTCATTCTCCCTCTCTTTCTCTGTCTCTCTCTCCCTTTCTTTCTTTGTCCTTGTTGTTATAATTACAACTATTATTTCTACAATTCATACATATTTCGCGCACCACAATTCCCAATTCAAAACCTCTATTTACCTTATGATTTGTCAAACTGCTCTATTACCCCATCATAATTATCTAAGACTAAAAAGCAAGGAAAAAACATATATTGGCAGTAGGTATATACGTATATTACTATTATTATTGACATTATGATTATAATATTGTCTTTCGATGAGTAACAGCAATAAAAAAGTCGACGTCTATAGAAGATAATTGCGAGTTACAAACAGTCTTGGCGAGAAATTGTTAAAAAAATGTCATCAACATCATAATAATAAACTAAGTAATCATGTATTTTGTATTTGTCATCCCCATGTTACCATAAATACGTACATTACGTAAAGTGTAAAGTTGATTACATACAAATATCGTTTGAGAATTCTTAGGTAATCTATGGCACACACAAGGCTGGGTGAATCGCATCTTCGTCAGTCTTTGTGATCTGAACTCTCTCTCTGTCTCTCTCTCTCTGTTTGTCTCTGTCTCTGTCTCTCTCTCTCTTTCTGTTTGTCTCTGTCTCTGTCTCTCTCTCTCTGTCTGTCTGTCTCTCTCTCTCTCTCTCTGTCTCTGTCTCTCTCTCTCTCTCTCTGTTTCTCTCTCTTTCTCTCTCTCTCTCTCTCTCATTCTCTCTGTTTCTCTCTCTCTCTCTGTTCCTCTCTCTCTCTCTCTCTCTCTCTCTCTCTCTCTCTCTCTCTCTCTCTCTCTCTCTCTCTCTCATTCTCTCTCTCTCTCTCATCTCTCTCTCTCTCTCTCTCTCTCTCTCTCTCTCTCTCTCTCTCTCTCTCTCTCTCTTTCTCTCTCTCTCTCTCTCTGTCAATCTCTGTCTCTGCCTCTGTCTATATATAAACTATAGACAACTTTACGCCATTAGAAATAAAGGCGTTTATTTTCAGAATGATCCCCATTACATATCTGAAACTTCATGATAATTCCGCGTCTCTGTTTCTAGTTAATTTTTTTTCTAATATTTCTCCGATTACCTTCGATTGTCTTCATCGTCTATGCATAGTAGGCTAAAGTTACAGTAGTTATATTATCATAATTATCAAAAATTCGTAATTATAATAAGCATTCCTGTTTGTATTTCCATTACCACTATCAATGAACATTTCTTATCACTAAAATTAATTTTTCAGTGAATTTAATCTTTCAGATAAATATTTCTTCTGCTATTGTTAATGTTGTAACAATTAGCAATAGATTGTTACTATAATTTGTACCGTAGAATAAAGAAAAAGAAAAATCCTGACACTTGACTTGACTGTTATTTGGTCATCCGTAATGAAATATATTAATTCAAATTACAAAGATAATCACCGTCATTAAACACAAAACCATTTTTTCTGCAAAATGAAATCGCTAATATTGATAAACATTCCAAACTCTTACTATATCCCCTATCATCATCATTATTACTACGGCTGTTATTTCTACAATGTATTCCTAACTCTCGTATCTTTTAAATTTAAAACCTTTAATTACATTGCCATTTGCCAAACTGCCCCATTATCCGCTCTCGTAATCTGTTACATATTGGCAGTAGGTTTATACTTTTATTATTCTTATTGGGATTATGATTATAATATTGCTATTC